GGTCCGCCCCCGCCGGAAGCGGAAGCGCGTCACTCGGTGGCGGCAGGGACACACTACGCAGACTCGCTGTAGCGGCGTAACCCGGAAGCACTCGCCTCGCCCCCGCCCCCGCCCGCTGATATCACTGCCGGGGCAGGCGCTACTTCCTTTCTGTGCTCGCTCGTCGTGGTGGTAGCAGGTAGGCTTCGCGGCGAGGTCTGGAGTCCGGGTCCGGGTCCGGGGCGGGGCGTGGGAGGGTCGGGGCGCGGGCCCTGCCGTCCTCATGGCGCCGCGCGGTGACTCTGCAGGCCCGGCCGTGACATGCAGAACGACGCCGGCGAGTTCGTGGACCTGTACGTTCCGCGGAAATGGTGAGCGCCCTCCTTGGTCCACGCGCAACCCGGCCCCCTCCCCGCCCCTCCAAGTCCCCGGCCCCTTCCACGCCCCGCTCACCGCGCCCCTTCCCCGCAGCTCCGCCAGCAACCGCATCATCGGTGCCAAGGACCACGCGTCCATCCAGATGAACGTGGCCGAGGTGAGCGGGCGGAGGAGCTGGAGCTGGCTGTCTCCGAAACTCCGAGTCAGAGCTGCCGGCTCTTGGGTGAGCACTTTTTGAACCTTCGTTTCTTCGTAGGTTGACAAGGTCACCGGCAGATTTAACGGCCAGTTTAAAACGTACGCCATCTGCGGGGCCATTCGCAGGATGGTGAGTGTTTCCTTGCGCTGTGCTCTTCACGTGGGCTCCCTACTTAGGAACAATGTGGACTGGGGCTGGGCACATGAGCATTGGCGGCCTCTTCCTGCTTTTCCTGAGGCCTGAATGGAGGTGAGCCACGGGACTGCTGGCTGCCTGCCCGCCCGTCCCTTTCTGCCGATGGAAAAGGGTTCAGCGGCTCAGGAAGGGACTCATCTGAGAGAACAAGCAGGCAGGCAGGCAGCAGTCCCTGCCTTTAACCGGGAGCCTGCTAGTTGTCACAGGCCCCGTCTGGCCTCCCCTGTAGTCAGGCTTGAGGTTGGGACCAGGAAGGGCTGCTCACTGCTAATGCCCGTTTCTCCATTGGTTCAACTGGGTAGAACTTAGGCTGGACCTACCATCTCACTAACAGTAGTGGGAATATCCTGTGTGTATTTTTTTTAAAGGGTGAGTCAGATGACTCCATTCTGCGATTGGCGAAGGCTGATGGCATCGTTTCAAAGTAAGAGGGTCCTCATGTTTGGGCACAATGGCCTAAGACTTCTCCGGAGACATGGTTTGAACACCGCCCTTCTCTCCTTGTTCTAGGAACTTCTGAGTGGAGAGTCATAGATGTGGAATGTTTGTCATAAATAAAGAGTGAAACCCTAGCTGTGTGGGTTCATTTTGTGCCTGTAGGCTTGTTCCCTTGCACTCTAGAGGAGACTGGGCTGACATGTTGCTGTGAACAGGTGAGAGGAATGGGCAGTAGCTAGTTAGCTGACAGGAGACAACCTGTTAAGTATGTTGCAAAACCAAGTTTTACTTTAAAACATAAATATGTCATCTGTGACAAATAAGCATTCTGAGGTCAGGTTTACTCTTGTGCATTTATAGCCACCACTCCTGCTGGGTGCTGAGCAAACTGCACCAGGTCTGCTTCTGTGTGGTCACAGCCCAGCTGACCACCACACAGCTTGGACATCTGGACTTGTTTTAGAGGATGATGGGTTCAGGCTGTGGTTTGTTTTTGACTACTGGCTTTGTTGCAGTAGTCCTTGAATACCACACACACAGTAGCAGCTCCTGGCATTATTAAAAAGGATGCATGAGAGGCAGGGCTTCAAATGCACCAGTCTGACAAATGACTTTCACTGTGTCAGTACACTTAAAGTGTTGGGTTGGTTGGCCACTTTCTTGCTGTTAATACCTATATGAAAAGTTTGAAGATGTGTCCCTTAAGGGTAGGTTGTAAACCAGAACAAGTGTTTTGGAAATCAGCCCCTTGCAGCGCTCGTAAGGTGGAAGTACCCTTGAGGTGCTGTGTCAGCGGCAGAACAGGTTGCTTTTCATAGGAAAGTTGCCTGCAGCTCAGGCCCAACATTACACATAGTTTAGCAGCTTCACAGTGGGGTCCTTCCCTCTTGAGTGCACATCAGGTGTGATGGAACCGTCCCTGGCTTAGGAAGACAGATCGTTACAAGACACTCCATAATAAATAAGGTCAGAATAAGGGCTTTGGTTTGTCCTCCAACCTGCTGCCCATCCTTCATGTACTCCTGTTATTGCTGGTTCTCAAGGTCCTGGTGAGTGGCTCAAGAAGGAAAAGGAACACTGGGCCAGGTGGGTGTGGGCCTGCAGGAAGTGAGTGGGTGGGCAGCTGTCCTGTGCCTCTGGTGGGGGTCTGGGTGGAGTTGCTGGCAGCTGAGTGCTGTCATCAGCACTGCTGGCATCTCTGCAGAAACACCAGTCTGCATGAACAGAACGTAATGTATTAACTGGGGGACAAGCAGGTTCATAGAACAGTGGTAAAGACAGCTTGGTGGCCCCAACAGAATGGCTATTTTTGAGACCACTGACCCATGAAGAAAAACTCAACAGTTCTTGGTTCTTCAGAGTGGTTTTGGTGGGCAGCAAGCTGGAGAAGCAGACCACATAGAACTCACCAGAACTTCAGACAAACTTTGAAAAGCTGAAGATGGGCACAGACCTGCACAGAAGGGACAGTGACCACTGCTTGGGGTCCACTTAGCACAGTGGTCTGCCCTGGCTGAGTTGGCCCAGACAGCATCTACTTCCTCCTAGGTGGAAGACATTGACACACCCAGCCCTTTGAGGGTGCCAAGGGCTATGAAGGGGTCAGTGTTCTCCTGCTTGAGGGTCAAGTGTGGTTTCCAGTCACAACTTCAGCAGACCTCATGTAACCAGTTTTTGTTCCCTTAAAAGATTCAGAACCAAATCCAAAATGTTATTTTTCTCATCACAAAATCGCTTAGGCAAATCAGGAGCCGGCGGTCGTCCTGAGGGCCTGGAGTGTTGAGGAAGGTGGGCTTTCCTGGTGACAGGCAGGGGGTGCATCCTGGCATGGGCTGGGCTAGCATCTGTGCTGATCCCTGTCAGGGTATGCAATACATGGATGTCAGGATTTCACAGTGACATGATGCTCCGAAAACAGAGGTCCAAGAGTCAAAAAACGAGAGCAAGACAAACGTGGCTGCTCTGCAGTCTCAACCTGACACCAAAAGCTCCTCCTGCTGATGTGGCGAAGGTGGCGGCATTTCCATATCAGATGCCTGGGTTAATGCTTCCGTAAGTTGAACTTGCAGTCCAGAGTGTTCAGTGAGGTCTGGAGACCCTGATTTCCCCAACAACGCTGGTGTGACAGCTGCAATGTTCCGTGAGGTAAGGGAGGAAGACGCTGCATATCAGCAGTGACATTGCTGACTGCACAACACAAACCAAAGGTGCCAGACACACGGAAAATGGAGACAATAACAAAACCCCATATTTTGTTCATGTAAAAATCTAGGAAAAAACTCAGAAATACCCCTAGAGGTGTGGAATGAAATCAATACCCCTTTCCAAGGAAACAGGCTAAAGAAACGAGCCTTGCGCCAGCTGTGGAGGGTGGGTGCAGAAGGGGGCCGATGGGATGAGCGCTAGAGGGCTTCTGTGCCAGGACGCATCTGCACAGCAGCCTCCTGCCCGGCTTGGGCTAGAGCTGCTGGGTGAGGCGTCTGTAATGAGGCAATACTTGGTTCTCGGGAAGATACAGTGCAAGCTCCAGAGCCACGAGCACTGTGAGCTCAAAGCCGATGAGATCGCGCCTATTGAATCGAAATCTTTCTTCCAGCTTCTGCATTGAAGAAGAGAGAGGTTAGGGGAGGGTGCCAGCCTCAGCACCTCCCACTGAAGTCAGCAGGCTCTGGGCAGGGGGCAGTGGCACTGGCTCGCTGTTAGCCACATGAGCTACAGTACAGCCCTCCCCTTGGTGGGTCCCGTGGTCAGTGAGGTCCTGAGGCTGGGCTGAGAGGAGACCCACAGTGGGCTGGAGCTGGCTGGCATGGCCACCATGGAACCCACGTACTCACGTCAATGAGCTGCTTCACCTCGCTCTTGCGGAGGTCACTGCTGACCTTGGCAGCGAGCAGCACACAGGCCCCGGCACACAGCTTGCGGTTCTGCTTGTTGAGCTTGCCCTGCAGGACGAGCTTCTCGAAGTACACGTAGGCCATCGACACTGTCACGGGCTCCAGGCTGCATTCCTCAGAGAGGTTCCGCATCTCCCGCTTCAAACTGTGGGTGGAGATGGAAGCCAGGTCCTGACAGGGCATGGGCTCTGGCTGGGGCTGAGGAAGCGGCTGCCCTCCCAGCGGCCTGGGCAATGTGCCTTGGTTGTGCCGTGAGAAAAGGCACCATGTCCCCTGGGGCCACAGCCAGTGCCAGGGCGCATGGCTTGGTGGGCGGGGAGTGGGCCAGATCCTGGCCTCCACCTGTTTCCCAGCTAGGTGCTCACAGCAGCTCCTGCCTGTCCTCATGGGTGGCCCACACTGTCCTCATGGACCCTGCTCTTGGGGGCTGGGGGCTAAGGGGGAGAGGCCTCTCCAGTGAGGGGATAAGTTTAAGAGACCTCAAGGGAGCAGAGGGGAGCGGTGGGTGGCTGCTGGGGAAAGAGCAGATACCAAGGCCCTGGGGCAGGGCGTGGCCCATGACCGCCCTCTGGAACATCAGTGCAGCTGCTGTCCTGGTGCTGGGAGAGCACACAGCAAGGCAGGACCCTGTGAAAGGCAGTGGCCAGGAGCCTGACTCAAGCCAGGTGGCCTGGGCTCAGGGCAGCTCCACCCCTTCCTCACTGTGGGCCTGGACAAGTCCATCAATGGAGACAATCACAGTGGCCACCTCTGGGCTCCCTGTGAGGGCAGCAGTACACACAAGGCACAGGTGGGATGAGAAGCAAGGTGTTGTGAGGGGTGGGGTGGGGCGGGGCTGTATGTGCCACATTTAAGAGCCCCAGTGTCTGCTCTGAGCACAATGGCAACACTGGGAGGGTGTAAGCACAAGAGGGACATCGTCCGACATGGGCTTTAAAAAGATCCTGAGCTGCTTTGCAGAGAACAGGCTGTGGCTGCTGCGAGGTTACGTCAGAGACACGGCCCTGGCAGGGAGCTGTGCGGCATGAGCAGGTGGGGCCAGGGCCTGACAAGCAGTGAGGGCAGGAAGAGCTGCTGCTATTGGCCTGGGCGCGGGGAGGGGTTGGGAAGGGGTGGCAACTGGATTTGTCGAGCTCCAGAGAACCTACCAGAAACGAGTGGAGAGGCCTCCCAGGATGACCACACATGGGTTTGCGAGGGTGTCCCCCACCACGGCGACCACCTCAGCCTCACCTCCTAATCTTGCTCAGTGTTAGTCTGATGTGCGGAAACTTCTCCCTGAAGGTCTCGTTCATGTCCTTCTTGAGGTCTGAGGGCTTCACGTATTCAATCACCGTGGTCTGCAACAGAGAAGCAGAGCAGGGTCGGGCTGGCCCCTCAGCAGCCCCGGGCCCACCTCCCCAGGCCCCTGCAAGGGCAGATTCCACACTAGCCTGTGACTGCTCACAGGAGGACGTGGTGGCTTCAGAGAAGCACCCCATCTCTGAGAACTAAATGGCTTAAGAAGACACTAGGGCCCATGTGTCTTCTGAGGGGAAGACCCAGCCTGCCCAGCCCCCAGGGCTGACCCCCGGTGGGCTGCAGCCACAGCCGCCCCCAAGTGCCCTGACCCACAGCAGCGCACTTGGGGTGGGGAGGAGAGTGCTCACCATGTACGACGCGAAGATGAGGACCCGCTTGTGTTTGCCGCAGGGCCACTGTGGATCGTCCAGGAGGTTGGGGTTGTACTCCAGGGTGTCTCCCCCGTCGCTCCCTGTGAGCAGAGCCAGCCCCTGAGCCTCCATCAGAACCGTCAGGCCCTGAGGGGAGGTGGCTGGGGCCAGGACAGTGGGATAAGGGGGAGCTAAGCTCCTCGGGTCTGGGGGCTTCAGACCACTGTTCCTTCCCTCCCGAAGGGCCAAAGCTTGAAGTAAATAAAAGGACATTCTGATAGGGGCCCCTCCCCAGAGAGATCTGTGGATGTGGTTCTTCCCCACTGCCTGGCTCAGGTGAAGCCCAGAACCGTGGGTTCTGTCTGCAGTGGTTTCTTCAAGAGGCCACCTTCTGACCCTGCTCCCAGCCCAGGCTGTCTGCACCGCGGGCTACAGACTTGCTCGTGGCTCATTGGTGCTGCCAGCCATGCAGCTGTCCCCAGCCTGGCCAGTGCTGCTGCCATCCCTGTGCACGTGGGCCACCCCATTCTGTGCCATGGTCAGGGCACACGGGCTACCTAGCTCTGTGCCGGCTGGCGCTGACTTGGCAGGGGCAGGTTTGTGTCTTGGCCCTGGCAGAGCCCGGGGGATGCTGGGCCGAGGCTGGGGCAGTGGGCCGTGGCTGTCACCCTTGTGCACGACCAGGGCGTTGGTAGGATACAGGAACTTCGCATATGACACAACCTGGAAGAGCAAGCACGTCAGGGCTCAGTCCTGCTTCCCATGACCAGAAGGTCAAGGCCAGCTCTGCTGTCTGCAGGGAGGCACTTGTGCCCCCATCCAGAGCACAAAGGATACAACTCGGATTGAGGTGTGGAGGCAGCCCTGGAGCTCAAGCTGCTCGCTCACAAGAACCTTCCAGAACACTGCCTTCCCCATCCTTCTCTGGGATCTGCAGCACCTTGGTGTTCTTCCTGCCTCTGAAGGGTGGATGGTGTGCAGGCTCCCAATGCCAACAGTGGAGGTGCCGGAGACGCCTGGCCGTGGCCGCGGCTTACAGTCGGCTGCAAGGGACCTGTGGACAGAGGCTCCACAGGCCCGTCTTTATAGGGCAGTGTGGCCACTCCCCCTTGCAGCCTCGTGACCTCGCACGTCCACCTCCAGGTGCCAGCCTGCAATCCACGCCCGCCCTCCAGCCCTGTCTGGTGCCAGCCCATAAGGGACTCTTACCTTTCCATCGGCTCCCAGCTCAACGCCTTCCAACTCAAAGACCATCTCGGAAGAAACGGAAATGCCCCCAGATGGATGTCTCTGCTTCTGGCTGTCCACTCTCAGGTCACTGCAACGCACGGGAGAGGAGAGAGGCTATGGCCGTTCTGCCTGTGAGCTGGCGGGCAGGAACCAAGCCTTGGCTGCTGCCATGCACCCATGCAGAGGCACCCACGGGATTGGCGCCTACATGGTCCCTCTTTGGAGGAAAAGTGGCACTGGCAGGACCAGCAAGACCCGTGTCGAGGAGCACTTAAGCCTCACTTCTCCCCAGCAACAGAAGCTGCCCGTTAAAACACCCCAGGTCTGCAGCAGTGACATTGACCTCGCCCCAAATTTGCTTGCTAGGTGTGGATACCACCCACCCCAAGCCTCACACTCCCTGGGAGGTTGGCTCAAGCCCTGGGGGTCGGCTGCTTTCCACGCAGATGAGGTGTCTCTTTCATTGACTATTCCATTCTTTTTTTTTTTTTTTTTTCCTGTCCGGCAACGGATCGCAACCCTCAGTGTCGCGCCTGTACCGGACCGGGACCGGCAACAGGATCGCAACCCTCGGTGTTGCACCCGCACCTCGCTCAGCCAGTGAGTGGGAACTGGTCTGTACGTGGGATCCAAACCCTTGGCGGGAGCGCCGCCGCGCTCCCAAGCGGCGCACTGTAGCAGTGTGCCACCAGGCCGGCCCAACTATTCCATTCTTATGCCAGGGTAACACATAATGCTGTCTCCACCCCAACAGCCATCTCCTCCTTCCCTGAATTACACATGGGACAGTTGCCTGCGCTGGTCACAAGGACACACAGCTGTGTCCACAAGAGGGAGAGTAACATCCCAGGCAAGCTATAGCAGACAGCATGGACAGAGATCCTGCCCCTCCCAGAGAGCAAGGGCTGGAAATAGCTACTCAGAGCTCCTGAGAAGCTGTGGCACAAGCTGGTCTGCTGACCCTCAAGTGAGCCACCCACGGCCGGGCTAGGCACAGCCTTCGCCTCGATGGTGTGGTCCACACTGGTGCCTCCGAAGCCAGGCTTGGCAGGGACCAGGGCTTTGGGTTCTGCCCAGTCATGTGCGTGTGCGAGGCAGGGGGAACCACTCACCTGATCCGCAGGCCTTCTCCATAGGGTAGGACAGAGAAGGCAGCACACAGGGACCGCTTGGCACAGATGAGCACAATCCTGTGGGGAGGGTGGGAGGCTCAGAATGGGGGTGCTGGAGGGCAACAGGGGATTTTGGTGGAAAATTCCTTCCTTCCTAAATTTAGGTAATGAGAAATTGTCCAAGCCGCCCGAGGGGACTCCTGGGCCCAGGAGGTGGGGGCCAGTGTCAGCAGGTCTGGCCGCCCCAGCTGTCACATGGAAGCCCTAGAGGTGGTTAGTAGGGGCATCCCCTCCCGTGGCACTGCTGCACATGCAGGCAAAACAGGAGGGCTCTTCCCTGGCTGGATGCAATTGGGAATGGAGGCCTCGTGTCCTATCTTGGTTCCTCTGGGAAAGGCAGAGGGGACCAGGCAGAGAGGCCGAGGTCTGCCCAGAGCCAGTCCTGGAGGGGGCAGGGCCTAATGCCACCAGAGAGTGCCCCAATCTATGTCCAGAACTAAGCTGACCAGAGACTCCGTCCCATGGCCCTTGAGCAGCAGGGCCCTGGGAGCATGAAGTGTGACCACAGCTTCTCCTCCCCCATGACAGCAGCTCTGCCCTGCATGGTCCATGTCTCAGCAGAGGGACGACAGTGGAGAGCCCCCCACCACCTCTTCTGGCTGGGATGACAGGAGCTAGGCCCAGGGTTTGGGCCTGCCTGGGGGCTGCACTGGGTCCGGCTGCTATGCCATGTGCAGGACTGGGGAGGAGGGTCCGTCCAAACCTATGGTCACCACTGATGTGGCTGCCTGGCAGGGTGACCTCCAGTGGGAAGGGGAGCTCTCTGGGACCGTTTGGGTCAGGGCCACACCTCAGGGCTGGCAGTGTGGAGGCGAGGGCCCGGGCCAGGGGAGTGCCCCCCCAGCGTAGCCGTGCACAGCCTCCCAGGGCCGAGCCTGGGCACCAGCTCCTGCTCTACTCCGGGTCTGGTTCAGCTTTCCCTCTGTGCTCCTAAGTACCACCAAGCCCTCCTCTCCTGGCACATCGCATTGCCACACCCATTTCTTTTCCCAGTTTCCCTCCACTTGGGCACTTTGGTGAAGGCGGCTGAGGGAGGGCTTGCCATGGACATGCTGTGAATGCGCCGGAGACCTGCCGGAGCTCCGTGAATCCACAGGAAGGTGAGTGTCATGGGGGGCGGGTCCGCCCTAAGGGACATGGTGGGCAGGACGCTGTTGGCCATGCCGTCACCTGCTGTTCTTGGTGTCATACTGCCTCATATTCTTGATGAAGTGTGTCTTCTTCAGGCCTTTGTGTCTCGGTGACCCAGATGTGTGTTTGGTTCTGCAAGGGATGGATGAAAGCAGGTGGCCCTCGCCCTCTCAGACCCTCCCTCAGCCCCCAGGATCACAGCAGCCCAAGCGCGCGGGGTGGGGTGCAAACCTCTGCACCATGGTGCATCCGGCTGCATCTTCCAGGAACTCCAGGGAGCAGCGCTGAGAGGTGACGCGCCTCCTGAGGGGAAGAACCGAGGCCTCGGTGTCACCTGCCTTGGGGTACTCCCCAGCAGGGCCAGCCCTTGGCCAAGCTGCACCCACGGGGCTAAAAGGCTTCAAGAGAGCTCCTCTCTGGGGACCAGTGGCCCTGCAGGACAGGCTCCTCAGGCAGGACAGGACAAGCCAACCTTCCCTGCCCATGGAGGGGCACTCGGCCTGAGAAACACCCGCTTGGTGGCCCCCACAGGCCCGGACCTGCCCCTGTGAAGCCGGGTAACAGTGTGTGGCTTGTCACATGAAGCAGTGGTCACCCCAGTACGTGGGAGCCAGGCCCTGTTCCTGGGGAAGGGAGGGGAGCTCATCGCTGAGGGGTCATTTTTAGGAGCTGCAGCCACCAGGCCAGCACCTTCCTCAAGGCAGGACCCCTGGTCTACACGAGGCCTGGTGCGGGCAAGCCACCTCCCTTGTGGAGCCAGCCTGGCATCCAGGTCCCCACACACACCATGCCCTTGCCACAAGCCTCCCGCCAAGAGCAGTACTGGTCTCCAGGAGCTGTGGCAGGGACAGACTGTACCTGTGCCTCTTACAGCCATCGCCTCATGCCGACTCGAGAGTTCAAAGTGGCAGCAGTGACATCCCTCGTGCAGAGGGTGACACCTGTCCAAGGTCACACTGCCAGTGTGGTCCTTGTCGATTTTAAGGCTGTCACCCAAATACCAAAATCCATCCTTTCATTTTTTTACTTGCACAGTAATTTTTAAGTCCTTTAAAGGACAAAGGCAACAGGAGATTGGTGACAGCAAAGGAACTGAAAACAGATCCAATAAAATGCTGGGTGCTTCCATCTGCAGAGAGAGCTGAGCATCCGCCCAGCCCAGCCTGTGATGGGGCAGGGACCTGTTGGCCGGGCTGCGGAGTGGGCTGGGGAGCCTGGGAGAGGGACAGTGTGGGGCTGGCAGCCCTCAGGCCAGCCAGGCCAGCAGGGTCAAGGGGCCTCTGCAGGGGCAGTGGAGAGGCTGAGAGCTCGGCTGCAGGCTGGGAGGCATGTCTGGCAGAAGACATCTGGCTGTCCTAAGGGTCCCAGGGAGGGGCCAGGCAGGTGCTGACCCCCTGCTGGGTGATGGCGACAGGCCTGCCCCACCGGAGGCTGGATGTGTAGAACGTGCACTGGGAAAAGCAGCCGGCTGAGTTGGAGACGTGGGGTCTGTCCCTGGTGAGGGAGAGGACGTGCTCTGCCCTAAGCGCTTGGCCCTGAGGACTGCCCCGTGTGGCCTCCTTGAGGCTCACGCCTCAGGTAATTACCCAGGTGGCTCCTGCACACCTGGGACCTCATTTGCAGGGCTGTGGAGGAGTTGGCAGAAGCCAGGGGCCCCTAGGTGGCCTTTCTGGTGGCGCAGTCAGTGCTGAGGCTCCCTGGTGGCCCTGGCCCATGGTCTGGCAGAGCTGCGGGTGGGGTGTGACCTCTGTTGCCCAACTTGCCTCCTGTCACTTCTGCTCACTGTGGACTTACGATGCATGTTTTCTCCCCAAGCTTTCAAGGTCTGTTCCCAGTTGGTTCCGCAGATCTTCTTCACTGTCATTTTCTTCTTTCTTTTCCTTTTTTATAAGCATTTTATTTGTGTATTTCTTTTTTTTGGCGGCTGGCTGGTATGGGGAACCAAACCCTTGACCTTGGTGTTACAAGGCTGAGCACTAACCAACTGAGCTAACCGGCCAGCCCCTAAGCATTTTATTTGTAAACTCAACCCTCAAAACAATTCTAAGAGGTAAGGCAGTGTTCTTACCCACAGTTTATAGATGGGGAAACTGAGGCACAGAGTTCAGCAACTGGCTTGAGACCACGCAGCTGGTAGGAGGTGTGGTGGGGTCCTGAGCCCAAGTGGGCAGTCTGGGCTCTAGCCATTTGGACACCCTGCCCTCCACCTCCGTCTGCCACATGCCCTGCCAGTGTTAGCTGGAATAAAGGTGCCCTGGCACTGTTTTCCCAATTGTTCAGTTTGTGAACCCAGTCTCCATTCAAGGTAATGTTTTTTGGTTTGGGTCCAAAAGATTCTGACAGTGCTGACGGCAGTGCCCAAATGTGGGTCAGGAGACCAGGGCTGGCCAAACATGGGGCGCTGATTCCGGCCTCTCCTCCCTGCCCCCACGGGAGGTGGCGTTTGTGGGAGAATGATGGAGGTGTTTCCCTCCTGGGGCAGGACTGTCACAACTCTAAATACCAGGCCAGCAGGACGGCCACTGCAAACACAATGGTGATCCAGGGACCGTATCTGTGGCCCGGCCCCTCTGGAAGATGGGCTGGGAATCCCCAACACGGACCGCATGACTGCCCAGGCCATGGAGAGATGGCAACACGGCCACGGGTGTGCGCACATGGCGACACAAGTCGGCCTTGTGCGGGGGAGGTCCTCCCAGGGGGATGTCTGCATGTCCAGCAGTGGAGGACAGGGGGGTTAGCCCATGGAGACATATCAAGCCGTACACCCACAGTCTATGTCCTTTAGCTCTCAACGTACCACACTTCACCTCAATTTTAAAGATGCTAGGGCTGGCCCGTGGCTCACTCGGGAAAGTGTGGTGCTGATAACACCAAGGCCATGGGTTCGGATCCCTATATAGGGATAGCGGGTTAGCTCACTTGGGAGAGCGTGGTGCTGACAACACCAAATCAAGGGTTAAGATCCCCTTACTGGTCAGGAAAAAAAAAATGCTAAAAACAAGCAAACAAATCAAAAATTGCAGAGTTTGGGCTTTCTACGGCCTCAGCTAATACATTTGTGCAAACACAAGGCCCATGGGGTCTCAGGAGCCCCTCCTGCCCGGTCATGCTAGGGTAACCCGGGATGGCGTCTATGCATGGCCCCCAACCATGGCGGTGACCAGCCCGGAGCTGCCTGCCTCTGACTTTTGGGAACTTTTGGGAAAAAGAGATCATGGGTGGGGGGAGGCTGCCAAGAGGGTGGGGTGGCCACCCCATTTAACCAACCTGCTGGCCCAACTCAGAATCCCCCTTTACGACTGGGCGCCAACACACGCTGCCCCACCCTCTATCCCCAGCCACGCTCACAGACAGGAAGAGAAGTCGCTGCTTATTAACTGTGGTTTCTAGTGCCTGACAGACTTTCTTTACACTGTAACTGAAGAATAATCCAGAAGAGGACAAGAAGTGTCACCTCCCTGAGATCTGAAGACCAAGTCACCATTAGAAACCCAAGCCCATGGAAGGGGCCACATGGGGCTCAGGCTGGCCATGGAAGCCCCTGACCACATAAAAGCCTGTTGGAATAATCTTGTAAGGAGGGCCGGACAATGCAGGAACAGCTGGCACCCTCCACCAAAGTGACTGTGCCCCTCAGACCCATGGCCGACATGCTCCAGCGTCAATGACACCTGAACCCAGTAACGTGTGGGCAGACATCTTGCCTGGCCGGACGCTGGTCTGACCATTGTGCCTGGCACGTCACAGACCCTTGGGATGTGTTTTTTGAATGAATGGATGGTCTTGGGTACCCCTGTCTCAACAAGGCCCAGGCAAAGCAAAGCTCCCAGTTCTAGCACAGCCTGACTGGGAGTCCTGGGCTCTGCAGCGTAGGGTCCCTGGGCAGGGAGGGCCTGAGGGCGAGGCCTTCGTCCCTGCAAGGCTCTGGCCACTTCTGGGTAATGTACCTACAGGTTCCAACCTCAGCCAACCACCTCCAGCTCTTTTCCAGCTGGAGAGCAAGAAACCTCCAAATCAGTGCTATAAACAAACTGCCAGATGCTAGACTGAAACTGGGTTAATTGGCACAGGCACCCAATAGCTCCTGGATGCTTAGTGGCTCCTGGCCGAGACGGCAGGCCGCACCTACGGCTACCATCCCAGGCCCTTCCTCAGAATGGGAGGGTTTCTGCTTCCAGAGAGCACTGCAAAGCCTCCTGCCTCAGGGCTACCTCCTGGCTCTTCCCTGGGCTGGATGTGTCTGTGATTTGCAGAGAGTCATTCGTGTGTAGGGATGTCACCTTCCCCCTCATTAGCACTGTGGACACGAACCAGGGTGGCTATGGCTTGAACTGTGTCCTCCCAGAAGATATGTTAGTCCTAACCCCCAGTACCCGTAAAGGGGACCTTAGATGGGGACAGGGTCTTAGCAGAGGAGTTAAATGAAGTCATGGGGGGGGTGCTAATACAGTAACTGGTGTCCTTATAAGAAGAGGAAAATGCCACACGAAGACAGACACACAAGAAGAGGACATGTGGACATGGAGGCAGAAACTGGAGCCATGTGGCCACCAGCCAGGGAAAGCTTGGAGCCACCAGGACCTGGAAGAGGCAGGAAGGACCCTCCCCAGAGCCTTTGCAGAGAGCACGGCCCTGCCCACCTCGATGCTGGACTTCTGGCCTCTAGAACCGGGAGAGAATAAACTGCTGTTGCCGTGCGCCGCTGGGGTTGTGGTGCTGTGTTTCAGCAGCCCCAGGAACCTCACATAGGGCCTCCTAGGGAGGAGAGGCAGGAGGAGGGCACTGCAGGAGCTGCTGCCAGCGGAGCACCTGGACACCCGCTTCCAGCCCAGCCGGGAAGCCCACGGATCCAGCTTGCTCTTGGGCGTTAAGTAACCACAATGTTTAAAATGAAAATAAACTGTTAATTCTATGAGAAAAACAAGGATTTCATGATTCACTCACTGGCTTAGCAGAAAACACCACACCAGAATGAGCCTCAAGTGTGAAACAGAAATGCTCCATGGAGGTCTGTGACGTGGGCACTCCCTGGGCAGCTCTGTGGTAATGGGAGGCTCCACTTGGCTGGCCCTGACCACTGCCATGCACCTCGCTGAGCCCTGACATGCATCCGACCTCAGGCAAGCAGTGCTTAACGCAATCCCCATTTCACAGAGGAGGAGACTGAGACCTAGAGTGGCAACGCTCCCTGCTCAAGGTCTCAGAGCTACAGAGTGGTGGAGCTAGGATTCAAACCCAGGTCTGTTCCCAGAGCCTGGGTCGAATCATCACACTCATGATGCATACTTTGGGACTACCTACCTCTAGGACTCTCGGAATTCTTTTCATGTCTGGAGAAACAACTGATCCTAGAACTCTCAGCCCGGTAGGCAGCTAGCAGTCCCCTGTGCTAGGCCAGCCACCCCTCCCTCTCTCAGCAACTAGGCCTGGGGGTACAGAGAGAAATGGACAGTCCTTATTCTGGGGGCCTGCCTCCTGACAGGGGAGGGGCAACAACTCCTGGACACAAGGCTGGCACCACGAACGCAGCAGCAGAGCCCAAGGAGGGATGACTTCCGGTGAGGGCAGGTGCAACTGTGGGGGGGCAGGAAGGGCATCTGAATAAGGTCTTGAAGGCCAAGGGGAAGGGAAGGGGCTGACACACATCTGGGGGCCGATAAGGCATGAGGGAAGCCTCGACAGAGCTCCAGGACACCCCA